TAAAGAACCACCAAGGTTCTATGAGATTCTATGAATGTTCAACTGATCCAGTTGAAAATATCCATATTAGCTGAGCCCTGCATTTGCCACAGATCACTGACAATTACCCAGCTTAAAATGTAAAATGGATTTTGGATGTTATGGATGTTAAATCTGAAAAGCCTATGTGACCCCCTTCTACCACATTCACAAGATCTTCAGAAAGTTTTATCTCTGACCTTGAGGTCGAGGCCACTGAGATTCAAACTTGTTAGAGATTTTAATAGAAACACATGTGGTATTTTAAAAGTCCAGGGTGACATCTTTCTCAAGTTATCGTGGTAACAAGAGCCTTAGAAACATGACCTTGAGGTCAAAGTCCTTATGAGCCTGTGTGCAAGTTCCTCACCAACAATCGAATTCGAACACTACCAACAGCTATCTACTATCTTAGAAAACAAAATGCACATTCAGAAACCAAACACTCAAGCAACAGGACATAGGGTTGTTCACATGCTGGCTCCAAGGGACAGCAAACACACCCAGAGCCCAGGATACCAGCCGACACAACCAGGAGGGGGCAGGGTGGCACCCATCCCCATCACCCCTGCCATCTCCTGGCAGAGCAGAAGGTGCCCACCCCACCCCAGAGGAGTGAACACAGGACTCAGACACCCCGGACATGCACCGTGCACGCCAACACAGCACACGGGGGAGCGAAAGGAATGGGGAGCGAGAAAAGGGGAAGTCCCCATGCATCCATGACCTACATCAATCCATTCCAGCTAAGGCAGAAGGGGGAGGCACGGTGCCTCAGGCAGCGATCTTTTAGTCTCAGTAAGGACTCAGTTTCAGGACCACCCTGCTCCCCTGCCAACTCTGTCCAGCTCAACAGCCTTACCTGCAGTCTATTTCCATTTTGACTTATAATCTGCCTCTAAATCTTGCCGTAAATCTTCAATATGTGTCCTGTTCTTGGTTCCTTTGCCTGGCTGTGGCAATAATGAGTTAGTAATGGAAGGCCATGAGTAACTTGTGACTGTAAGTTAGAAGAGTGTTGCCAAAAATATTGGTTATTGCATTTCCAAACTTTTCTACACCATGGCCATCAGTTATTGATATTGTGGCTATGTATTAATAACTTGTGGCCACTATGCTACGTATTACAACAATACATGTTTTTTCCACTAATGTCAGCAGAGGACTCCTTACCCTCTGCTTACATTAGCTACCTTACTCAAACACATCTTTATTCCTCCGTCTTCGGTCTAACTTTGATAATGAATAAGGTCATGACCCTGAAAAATCAATGTCCTAAAGAAAGAGAGAACAGCAGAAAGGAGGAAGGCTTGAGAAAAACAATATCACGACAAGGTTCCCAAGGAGTAAACAACACATGCATTAGAAGAAATAAGGTAATTATATAATAACATGCATGCTGTTCATACAGTTAGATGGGATACAAGTGGTACAGTGCAGAAAGGTAGTGCAGAAAGTACCTGGTGATATCCAAGTCAGGAAACAGACTTAAGATATAGTTAGGGAGTGGGGCAGAGTGGAAGATGCTTTTGTCACACTCCACTGAGGAATAGTGTCGGGGGGAGGGCGCTTTGTCACTTAGTTTGTTCACAGTGCTGTAAACTGGCTCAGGAGGCCTATATTGAAGCGAGAGACAAGAGCAGAGAGATTAGTGTCCAGAGGCAGAGGTGGAGCAGAGGTGGAGCAGGTGGAGTACAGTAGACTGGCATAAATACATACGTGAAAGAAGAAAACACATAACGCACCTTGAGATGTGGCTAAAAGGGGAAAAATACTGCACACACTGAGAAGTCTTACTGGTCAAAACACCCAATCTAGGGGTGTCATGCGTTGCACACTTACTAACTCATAGTAACACAAATTTTTACTTAATTACAAACTTAAATGGTCAACAGTTCACTTCCACAAATCCACTTGATTTCTTATTGAGTAATCGTGTCACTTTGATCCATGTCCTCCACAGATTTATATATTTACACATTTATACTTTGTTAGGTCTGCTCAGTTGCCTATTGTAATCACATGGCAGCAAATCAGTACTTTGAATGTAGCATGGTTGATAGCGCCAGACAAGCTGGTGTCAGTGTTTCAGAAACACTCCTGGGTTTTCCTGCACAGCCAAGGTTAACAATAGTGCTATAGCACCAGTATACAGTGTTGGTCAAGTTACGTGAAAAAAGTAATTAGTTACTCAGTTAATTACCTTTTAAAAACATGATACACAACCTGAATACGTAATAAACCAATAGACCCCTCAGCCCAGTTCTGCTTTTTTCTGCATATAAAATTGAATCAAATGAAAAAATCTCTTTTAAAACTTGTTTTATTAATTTAATTCTTTTTAATTTAACGAGTAATCAGAAATAATGTGTTACTGCCCATCTCTGCTAGTATATCTATATATGATATCTGCTAATGCTTAACCGTATATAACTTGAATCAAATATAATTAAGTATAAATCAAATTAATACAGTGAAGGAGAACATGTAACACATTTAATGGAATAACTGTAATGCTTGAATTTTGACCAGATTTTTGTGTTTGTTGAGATTCAAAGAGGAAGTGCAGCAGAGTCCAAGGAGCTTGGAAAGAAAAGCGTCAGGACTTCTTTAAGTTCCCTGAAGACGTTTCATCTCTCATGTGAGAAGCTTCTTCAGTTCCAAGGTCAAATGGTGGAGAGTCCCAGATTTAAGTCCAAGGGGACACACGAGTCTATTAGGTAGATATGATACAAACCACTGCAGTAAAGTACCTGTAATACCCACAGCGTGCTCTAATC